GTATATAGATAGATGAGGCAGAAATAGATTTAATATATATTTTAGATGTAATATTTAGATATAGATTTAACATAATTAACATTTACCATTAAATATGAGAAAAATGCACTAAGTGTGAAGAAAGTGCACTGATTTTTTTCTTTGTTTCCAATTTATACTTGGCGCCCCATACTTGAGGACCAGATTTGAGAAACACTGCTTTATATAACCAGGAMGTCCCGCTGAGATGAAAAACCTCTTTTTCAAGAGAAACCTGGCCAAGATAGGCAGCAGCAAATAAAACACACGTCACAGTAACACCAAATTAATGATTAAGTTTTTGAAAGCAACCTAATTTGAGATAACTGGCTTTGGAAAATATTAAAATGATTATTTCAGTTAATTTTGCAAACGCGTTTGCCTTACACCTCAAAACTACATTTCTTTTCATTGCAGGAAACCCTATTTTTGTCCAAGTCAAGGAAATATATGATCAAATGCAGAATGTAAATGTTAAACACAGTTCAGAGTTTTAGATCTGTTTACTGCCTGTCTGTGCTGCATGTCGAGATGCTGCAGGATAAACAGCTGCGTTGGACGAGCCAACCATCGCAGCTTTCTGCAGACCCTCTGCGTGTTTATGCTCACCTCTGTGTACGGGATCAGTTTGGTGCTGCGCAGCCTCTGCCCTCAGCAGCATCTGATGACGGCTCTCTTCTACTGCCCCGGCATCTACAGCCAGTCCAGGTATTTCTCCTCTCTCGCAGGTAAACATAAATAGATTTGAAACCTTATATCTTAACTACATGTTTGCTCTCTCCGCATGTTTTGCAGCACAGCCCTCTGTTTCACCTGTTGTTGGTACAGTAGCATCATCTCAGCAGGACTGCTGTACCTGCTGCTCTCCCAGGTGCTGAACATCAGCTTCAATGTGACGGAGCGCGAGGTTCAGCTGGCCCTGAGGAACAAAAGGGGCCAGAGGCACCTGTGGGGGCTTATCGTGGTCACAGGGGAACATTCACGTGGCTTCTGTCAGAACTGGGTTGAGTTCCTCACCATGGCAGACGCATCGGTGTCTCTTCGCTCCAACCTCCCCAGCTTGGTCTAATTTCTAATGTTAGCAGGCTGTTAATGGAGAACTTCCTCTTGCTTTTGCAGCCTGTTTTTATTTCCCTTTAATGAACTSATTTTAAATGTTACAGTGAGAAAATGAACACACTGACTTGTATGTTTTGGGTAGGGATRCACCGATATAAAAATTTGAGCCGATACYGATATCTGRTATTAATATTGCTGTTTTGGCYGATAACCGATATTTATTGATRTCGATATAYAYGCACAAACKTGCATTTCCAGGATGATCCAATTTTTCACAGACTAAAAATCAAGCAAACGTGATTTAATGTCTTGCTTTATTTTTGAAATTGTAACTTTCAAGTAAGATTGCACTGCCAACATAAAACACAAGAAACCAACAGTGTTATTTATTTTATTTTTTTTGCCATTTCACTTTTCAAACAAGTTGTGTACAACTTAACTCCCTGCACTGACAAGAATCTTAGAGTTTGGATCATAATTAAAAAAATATTAACAAGGCAACTGTGAAAACTGAAAAACTCTAAATCAAAAATATCAAACTATCCTTATTATTAGTGCASATTTTCCTACTTGAACTGTAATTTCTAATATTCAGGACAGTATATTCAATACTGACACATAGTTTAAACAAGCAGGCAATTAAAACAAATACAAATTAAGTCTCATCTATAAAATTGTTAAACCAAAATATTCAAACTGAGACATGACTGTRACAAAAGACGTGATAGTCTTTGCATTTTTTTCATCTTAAAGTTTGTGATGAAAATAAGAGTCCCAATAACTTAACAGTGTTTCCACACAAAGGCAAACATAAAAAAGTAAGAATTTTGAGTCTCAGCTGTAAAATTGTAAACCAAAATATTAGATGTGGGATAAAGACATGGTAGTCTCTGCACTTCAAGGCAGGTTTTCTTTTACAAAGAGAAGCATTTCTGCTTTATCACACTGGATCCTGTTTCTCTTTTCATCAATGAAATGTGAAGCAGCAGCAAAGAGACGTTCACTGCCCACACTTATGTAGCCGAAAGGTACTTGGGGGTTTGATGGATGTGATTTGGAGGCCAACATTATATATCATGTCCTAATTCTACATTTTTATTTTCAGTCCAAATCTTTCCGCTATAATTGAAACTGTTTACATCATTGCAGTTATGTTTTATTTATTTTTTGAATTTTCATTCTAATTCTTGTCTGAGAAGTTCACTTGGCTCCACACAGTCTGAACAGTCTTTCCTCTGGCGCCACCACCAGGCCTTATATTCCCAGCATTGTTTTTTTTTTTTCTATCAGTTCATTTATTGCCTCCAAAGTTGAAAAAGTGATAATGTTTTTGACAGTGTTTGTCTGCTGTGTCTGCAAAATATATCTCATGAACCAATGGACAGGTTTTATATTAAAATCCAACACCCACCGTTTGTTTCCCCACATTGCACATCCAGCCAAATATGATGGAGATATAAAATAAACACCTTTGTTCTGTTTTAATGTTAAAAAGTACCAGAATTTTTCTTTGTTTTTAAGTTTGTACTTCAGACAAAGCTCTCACTTCTGCGTATGTGACATCAAAAAAAGGGCGCAAATCAGGGTTTGACAGCCAGAGTTATATTTATATTTATATTACACACCAATCTTAACTTTTATTTCAGGCCATGACTATGCAGGAACAAAATCCAGACAATGTGTTGCACCGTTCTGTGGAAATATAGCCAAGGAGGGAGATAGCATTTATTATTTTATGAAACTCCAAAACATTAAGAGGAAATGAGTCTTCTGGTGGAAACTGCAATCGTTCATGGTGGCTCATTTTGATCAGATCGTCCTTGCAGAGTTTTGAACTGGTTTATATAACCCAACCCGACTAATTAACTCCAGTTAGAGGCCCGAGGCTGAAGTAAACCCAACATATTACTTTAATTGAACTTTGTTTTTAGATTATTTGAGATTTTAAGCAAATCAGATGTCACGTGCTGCATTTAACACACCTTTCATTTTTTCCACAACAGGGTAAACTCTCCTCCATATAATAAGTACTGTATTCATTCATGTATAATGGGATCTCGAGCATAAAGCAATCCTCAGTGTTTTTAGCTTAAAAAAGCATCAAATATAATAAATTCCTCGTGTAGCCTTTATTTTGCATTTACTTTACATTTACTTATAGTAAATGTTACCTTTACTCAATTCAGCTGAGTGGAAACAGTTGACATATTTTTAAATAAAAACCACTACATCTGTTTTTTGAGTGATCCTTAATTTCATACAGACTTCAGGATTTTGAAGTTTTGCAGTGTACCCTATTTTCTTTATTTTACACCTGTGGGTGTGTTTGTGGCTGCAGAGAGAGCTTCACATCACAGGAGCCGGCTGTAAAATGGGCAGCTTCGAAGAGCACCTTGTCTGGTCCTACAAACGTGTAAATAACGTCCATGTCTTCTTTTTATCTCTGCACTGCAGTTAGCAAAAAAAAAATATATAGTTTTACTCTTCTGACTCAAAAACAACAACAACTCTTTTTTTTATTTGCTGAGCTGCACAGCATACTGCAGAAGGAAGGGAGAAGTTATGATGATTTATCCTCCATCACACAACGTTTCGGTTATATACAAAAAAATATTGAAATTTATTATGGCAGGCTTATTAAAAATGCACCACATAAGCCTGAGCCCAATCCGACCCGACCATCAAGCATTTCRTTTTGGCCCAAATTTCGTGACGGGCTATAAATCTAAACTCTATTGCAGAGCAATAACTTCACTCCAAACAGTTGAAATTTGTTTTTTATGGCTTACAGATAGATCATCATAGATATCTTCTAAATCTCCASTTAAATCCTCCTCACTGCACTCCTCCATCAGTAATACTCTGCTGCCTCTTGTTCCTTCTTCGATGTYATCGGCCATGTGCTCTGGTTTTTACACATCCGGATGGTTATTTTATTCTATTTCATTTGATTTTTTGACACTTGCTTTGCCCAAATGTGAAAAAGAAAACATATATTTTACAGTGATTATGCATTAGGGCCACTTAGGACTGTGATGGTGGGTGTTGGCCTTGAACTGTCAAAATGACTCATTTTTAGGATGCATTGAGAGTCTGTTCCTCAGAAGCTGAATGCACGATGTTCATGTGTGACACCTTTTTCAGGCTGAATCACTGTAGGTATAGAACATGCTTTTTTTTTTATTCTTTTTTTTGACCTGTGATGCTCAATGCCCCTGTACTGGGGGCGGATCTTAACTGATTTTTTCTACTTTTCTACAGTGAGTTTATGATTTCTGAGTTGTGTTTTTTAGCCTTATTGTTGATATTTAAAAAATATGCTGCATAATGCAATAATTACAATTGGGGATGTTATTTTGAGCACAACWTTCAAGGAAACCCCTTGGGACTTAAAAGGTTAAGGCTTGTTGACACACAGTTTGGTTTCTGTGCAGTAAATGCACTGCTACAAATATAAAATTTGATTTTTCTTATTAATTGGTTTTGCTACACCAACAAACTCAGGGACAATGCACAGTTTTTGTTTTAATGTAAGCAAAAAAAAAGTGCTTTCATAACTGCAGTTATGAAACGTATTTTTTGGCACAAAAATGGTTTCTGATTTTCACGGTGTGAGGAGTTTGCCTGTTCAAACCGGTAAAGGTAGGAATGCTGGAGAATTATGCACTTTGACGGGTATCTGTCTGCACCTGCTCTGTATATTTTCAGCATAACCAGTCACGTTTTAATCTGTGTGCACGAAGAAAAATCCTGCAAATACAAGAGAAGTCCCACATCTTTGTACTCAGTTGTCTCATCTCTTTACCAGGTTTGATGAGTCTAAAACTCCGATACAAAAGGCAGCTGCATTTTCTTTAATAAATACTAGAAAAGGTTTAAAATGTCAGGGATTAGATGCCTTTCCATTAAAGAAGGTAAAGCCTCCTACAACAAAAACTCTTTTTACTTACTTTCATCCTGATTCTGACAACCTAACAGCTGTAAATAATCCCACCRACAGAGGGCTTGAGCTGATAAAAGTCTAATTCAGACCCTGCCAAATGGCAAACAATGAACACTTCCTATRTTTAACATTGTGCAGGACAATCGTGCCAGTCACTGCCATCGAGAATAAAACAAACACACACACCTATTCAGACTCACATGAACGCTTCGCACAAAGACAGAGCACAGCAGAGACAGAACAAAACTTAAAAGAAAAATGAAGAAAGACATAAACAGCGATGGGTCGTTTCACCTTGCATGTTTTATAAATTTATTGCTGTAAATATCCTGGTCAATATAAAATGGACTTCTTTATAAAAAATAAATAAATGTCAAAAAGAAACATTCCTTCACAGATTAAAACACTGGATCTGATTCAATCCAGTGATGCAAATTTTAAACATAAATCAGGTGCATCAGGTGTCACAGAGTCACAGTTAGGGCTCTTKGGTTCAGGGAGCCATTAGATTTTSAATGAGTTGCRTGATGATGTCATCATGTCACGTGGATTGAATCCCCCTTTCCCCTTGAGCTGCTGCACGCCACAGCTCTGCCTGTGAACTTCAAAAAGCGAAGGAATAGTGATTCTCTCTGTTATTACATTCGTCATAAGGAGCCATTCAAATGATTTGGATTGTTCGCAAATCCTTATTTTGGATCTAGGATTGCAGACTGACTCATGGAGCTTGAATTAAATTAAACTTTTACTGACATGAGGATATAATCACAAAGAAGCGTGTAAAACCACTAGTGAGTGAGGTGAAGCTGAGGACTTAAGGACAGAGGCTGATGAGAGAAGCAGAGGCACCTGGGCAGACTCAGGACAGAGAACAGGTGTAGGTGGGTGTGGCAGGACTGAGGAGCGAAGGAKGAACGACTAACGGCACAAGACTGAACAAATGAAAACACAAGAACTAAGACTAAGAACTAAACACAGGAAACACACAACAAAATAAAACATAACGAAAAGGAAATAAACTGGATCATAAACACAAAGAATGACCAAAAAGTAACTGATGAACAGACATTAGGTAAAGAAGCACATGGTTTGCAACATAAAAAAGGTTACCAAGGTAATCTCTGAAGTCTGTTTTGCTGTCTGTTTTTCACTGTAACAAGCTGACTGGTGAGTTTTATTATCTGCCACAGAAAGCACTGGAGGGCAACTATGTACTGCCATGTTTACCACTTTAGGGATTTGTTTCTATTCCTGTAAAGTAAAGTAAAGTAAAGTAAAGTAAAGTAAAGTAAAGTAAAGTAAAGTAAAGTACAAAATGAAATAGCGTGTCTGCAGTCTAACTCAGATGAAGCTGTTTTGTAACTTGTTTTTTTGCTCTCTCCCTATCACTCATCTCTAACTGAATTGGATCCTGGTGGAGCCAAACCCTGTGGCTGTGCTGCATTTCATGCCTGAAGCGTGTCTGAACCGAGCCCAGTTCTGTGGGTGTGTGCTGACTGGGGTGGTGGGGGTATGCCCACTCTCCCCTATATAAAGAGTCGTCAGTGACARATTTCTACTTCTTCATCGGGGCTCTCATCATCAGCATCATCATCCTGTCCTCACTGATCCTGATCCTCAGAGACGATGACTTCACTGCTCACCCTGCTGGGAGCTGTGCTCTGCTCCCTGGCTGTTTCCTCTGAAGTCCTGCCTCAGGCAGACTTCAACATCCAGGGGGTAAGAAAAAAAAGTTTGTGTAGATTTATGCATCCTGCAGTCGTATTACATAGATTATCTAATCTTATAAGTGAAAAAAATATATGCAAGACTTACTGAGACTTGTATGGAAACTGTAGTAGTTTTGTAAGATGTACATTTTTTAAATCAACATGTTTTATATTATGGGTGTTGATGTTTTACACACTGATATAAGCTTGAATTCACTTTGAATTGTGTCCCTATCAGTAACACAATCACTTAAATTACACACACATATTCAGTTTTATTGTTTTTAGTGTTATTACTGTTTAAGAGAACTCTATAACTGGATGTGCTAAAGCTAGCTGATACTGTTGCTACTTGTATTTGCGAGAATTCTTTAAAAAGAAACAGCTCAAAACAGTAAGAAATAAACTATTTATTAAAACTGAGATGATAAAAAATAGTCATCTGAAACAGGTGAGATGTTTACTGTTCATGGCCTTTTTCACAGAACTCCAACATGTTTAAGTGAATAGATTATTTTAAAGGTGATGATTGYATCTGTTGTTTTGCTTTCTTGTGTGTGGCGACAGATGTCAGGGAAGTGGTACCTGATTGGCATCGCCTCCAACTCTCAGTGGCTCGTCAGACGCAGGGCCACGATGAAGATGGGCACGGCCATGCTGAAACCAACCGCAAACGGAGACCTGGAAATGTCTTACGCCAGTCTCACGTGAGCCTGGACCAGACATTTTAATACAAAACACTCAAAACGTTAAAATAAATAAACTGTTGTGAGAAACTTTGGATGTCACTTGTCTTTGTAGTTCTGATGGCTCTTGCTGGAGAAAGAACAAACTGGCTAAAAAGACCGATGTTGCTGGGAAGTTCACCTACAGCTGTGAACGTGAGTGTATCCAACACACACACACACACACTAATGCAGAAACTACACTACTTTCATCTTTCCTTCCTATTTCCAGATTCAGGTGCTCTGAAAGACATGCGTGTGACTGAAGTGAAGTCTGATGAGTACGCTCTGGTTCACATCATCAAGAAAAAGGAGGCGGAGACGACCACAGTTACTAAACTTTACGGTAAAATCACAATTGTTTTAGTGAGTCCATTTCAAGAGTTTTACAGCTAATGGCAGATGACTGGTTTGACAGGACGTGCAGACGAACTCGGAGCTGATGTGAAGCAGAAGTTCAGGCAGCTCGCCTTGCAAACCGGCACTCTGCCCGAAAACATCATCTTCCTTCCCAAAAACGGTACCTTTAGATCACAACCAACTCTTAAAAACATTCAATTTAAAGTGGCCCAAGCATTAATAGTAGGACTTTGCTTTTATTTCAGCGGAGTGCCCAGCTGCCTGATTTCCTGTCCTGCTCTGCATCTGTGGTGAAAGGCTGCAGACCTTTGCTGTGGAAAAAAACCCTGACTTCAGTTTCTATAATCTCATTCTTTTGTAGCAATACTGTTCAAAAAATAAAAAATAAAGAAAGCCAGCTAAAATATTTTTTGCTTTATTGTCCATTTTTTAACAAATATGCTGACGTACATCCATAACGACACAGTTCAGGATTTCCTTTGTCATCAAGTGTTTACATCTACAACGTTTTGTACAGATTCGTATACAAAACAATAATTTACGTCCCATAGAAGTCTAGTTACACTTAACTATACAACAAGTTATAAATGAAATAAATATAAAAACAAAAAAAAAWGATCACAGGTGTTAAAAATAATGTAAAAAGTCATAAAACATGAACACCACCAGCACCTGTCGTGTGAAGTTGCATCTAAAATGAGGATATACGTTTTTCCCTTTCTACTGGCAAAAAAGTACATCTGTGATGGTAAAATCAAAGCTCAGTCCGTAGTTTCATGCTTGCAGCACCACATATACTGTAGGATTTCCCCAATTGTGTGAAACTTTTAGAGATTTTCTTCATTATTTAACAATCGGCTGATTCAAATTAGTGACATTTCACTTATCTGGCAACACTAATTAATTTGAAAATACTGAAATTCGGGGCTTTGTCTCCGATGTTTCGATGCTCCAAGTAACTCACAGCACATCTACAGACATGAAACGTAAATATTGGACATCGAGGGATTCTGGCAATGATTGCACCGTGAGTCACGAGTATATGTGAAATTTAAAATCAAGACCATATTGTGACCATGGTAAAAAAAAAATTTAAATTAAATAAATTTAGCGATCGTGAAGCTTAAAAAATGATTTTTTTTACTCTGAACAAATAAACTATGTTACAGAAAGATGGGGTCAAAGCACTGGGAAGCACAACAATGACTTTTTTTTTCTGTCCCTCATACACACACTCACTCATACACACACACACATATATATAAACCCATTTTCACAAGTGCTACGAAACAGGCTAACATACCTCTGTTAGGTATTTGAACAAAATGATGAAAAAATAAAAACTCTGAAAATTACACCTCAAATTTAAGACACACAGACTGTTGTGAATTTGGAACGGACTGCTACCTGCTGAATCCAAAAAACGTGTATCTACAAAAAAGACATCTGCACAATCTGCCATGCACACAGTCACCAGCAAAGGGACATGCAGTTAAAAGCGCAAGCCTGTGGAAGAAGGGCTTAACTCTTGGAGTAATAATGTTATGTACATGTGTTTACATTTGTGAGCAAACATTAGGGTTGGGGATTGGGGGAGGAAAAAAAGAAAGAGCAAAACAACAGAGTGGACTGAAGTGCAGCACACACCGGAAGGTTTGTCTGCTGAGAGTGCAACGACTGGGGTGTGATGGATGCTTTAACGTCCGTCTGGCACGATATTTGGCTCGGTCACAGTCACTCTGCCTGCACCACGTCCTTGTGGTGACGCATGATATGCTGGTTCTTCTCCGAGGGTCGCCGGAAGCCTTTCGAACAGATCTCGCAGCGGTGAGGGTAGTCTTTCGTGTGGATGGAAATGACGTGCCTTTTGAAACCTGAAGCGTCCCCAGTGCTGTAGTCGCAGTACTGGCACTGGTAGATTCTCCTCTCCTTTTGGCCTTTGCCGATAACTACAGTCACGCTGCTGGCTAAGCTGGCTGCGCTGACTCTAGCAGGTGGACCGGAGGCACTCGCCCCGCTAGCTGCAGACTTTTTAGGGGTTACGACAGGAGAGTGCGTCTCTGTCCTCGCCTTAGTCTCGGTCTTTTCGGGCGAGGCCTGCTGCTCTTTTGTGTGGACAGACAAGATGTGGCGACTGAGAACAAAAGGGTCCGCGATTTTGAAGTTGCAGTGCCGGCACTGGTGGAGCTTCTTGGTGCGGTGCGATACCGAGTGCTTCTTCAGTTCCGACGGCCGGTGGAAGCCTTTCCCGCACACGGCGCATTTGTGCGGATAGTCCTTGGTGTGAACGGATATGATGTGGCGTTTGAGGTCACTGGAGTTGGAACTCTTGTGATCACAGTGGGCACAATGGTGGGTCTTATTCTCCTCGTGCGTCAGTCCGTGCTGCATTAGCTCCTCCTCCTCGGCGAAGGTCTGGAAACAGCGCTCGCACTTGTACGGCATCTCCTTGCTATGCTTGGTCTTGATGTGCGTTTTGAGGTTGGAGGAATCGGCCGACTTGTAGTCGCAGTACATGCAGGAGTACGGCTTTTCGCCCGTGTGCGTGCGCATGTGTTTCTTCAGCTCGGAAGGATGCCGAAAGCCCTTCCCGCATTCCACGCAGATGTGAGGGAAGCTTTTGCTGTGGACGGCCAACAAGTGCCGGTTGAGCAGCCCCTGCTCAGCAGTCTCATAGTTGCAGAACTTGCATTTATGCATCTTGGTGGGCGGAGGCGGCGGCTGGGTTTTGGGCTCCCGGTGGTGGTGCTGCAGTCTGTGSGAGAACAGCGCCCCCTGCTGGTGGAACTCCTTGCCGCACATTTCGCACTCGAACGGGGCCTTGCTGCTAAGTGCGTGCACTTCCATGTGATTGTGGAGGCTGGCTTTTTTGTTGGTGGTGAAGTCGCAGTCTGTGCATTGGTACTTTTTCCTGGTCAGAACATCCTGGTGGTGATTCTTAGTGTGGCGTTTTAAGAAGCCCCGCGACTTGAACTTTTTCCCGCAAAGCATGCAGGGGTACACGGTCAGCGGCTGGCCGTATGGACCGATGATGATTGCTGGAGAGAAAYACGACAGAGAAGGAAATTACCACATGGTCATTTTGGTTTTCCAAACAAAAACACATTGTCATTTTTTAAAAAAAATCTTATGAAAAAAGTTCATTTTAAAAAAGGTAAACGTTTTGTTATTTTATTCCAACTTTAATGCAAATTAATTTACTCCTGTCAAACTACATAAATTAGATACTTTGTAAGATTAATACAATCTCAAAAGAAAAAATAGGAACATGAAGGTAAATAGAAACAAAACTACAAAAATMTTTGACAAGAATAAACCACTGAAACAAAATATTCTGTAGATTTAGAACAGATCTAAGGTTTCATGTTTATAATTCAATGTTTTAAAAGTAAAATTCTGTCTTCATCTTAMAATTACTGATATTTGGTTGTGAAACGAAGGAGCAGTTATAAAATATTAAACTCCTGAACACCTAGTGCTGATTGGGGTTATAAAAAAAGTTTCACATGCTATCAATAACTGAGAACATACTCATTTGTGACAGTATTAATTTGAGTGAAACAATGATCATGTGCAGGTATGAGACTGCAACACTACAGGCTGACAGCTCCCTCTCATCCCCCCTTAGACGTATATTTAGCTTTAATCTTTTTTTTATTGTGTTTGTTTTTGTTTCAAATATTGAATGTATTTAATGTATAATTTGTACAGCTTTTGTGATACTTTTGCTTTTTCTTTCTGATAATGGATGTACAGCACCTTTTGAAATCCTTTTCTGTGAAAGGCGCTATATAAATAAACTTTTGCTTACTTATTAATCACGTTTTATATTGACTTATTTGTACAAAAGTACACTTTCAAAATAAATTAACCTGTTGAYCCCCAAGTTGTTTGGCTGTACGACTAAGATAGAAAACCAATTTAATTTGTTTGTAAAACACAAAAAAAGGTACAAATATTAATAATTTGTGATGAAGTGATATSAGTTTAGAAAATCTAACTTCATTTGACAAGCAGAGAAAAGTGCAACACATTCAAACCAGACATTAATATCCTAACAGAGCAAAAAKTAGGTGTGTAATACATCAATATATTCATTAAATTCTTAATGATTCAAAGACTTTGAGACAAAAGAAAACATTGATCCGTATCATCATTATATGCCTGATGTGGATCGATACATCAACTACAGACTTTTGAATTGAATCGAAAATGAATCATGACCGACTTCATGATAAAGAAAGATCGCATCATCATATAAACAATCTGATACACTATTGTATTGTGAAAAAGCAGGTGAAAAAGCAGGTGATTTACACCACTAGCAGACAGGTGAATATAAAGTGAACAAACCAAAAGCAGCAAATGTGAACGTTGGCATTGTTTATGTGTGTGAGAAATAAAGCTCTTTTGCTTTATGTCTTATTCTAATCGTGACAGCAACATCTGTGCACCTGACCGTTCTCACCTGTCTGGACCTGTCGATGCTCCGACCGCCTCTTGTTCTTGTTGCGCTGCCTGTTGATTTCATCCACCCCGTCCGATTCGTCGATGTGCAGCAGGGCGCTGGCGGCCCCGTTTCCATTTTCACAACTCTCGCTGTCGTCTATGCCTGAGTGAGCAGCAGAACAGCTTTGTTATGAAAAAAAAAACTGAAAACAAGCACGTTTAAAGCTACGGTCAAAGCACGCCGAGGATGTTAATGCACAGGCTTCCTGCATCTTTTAGTGAGAAATTTAGGAGACATGGGTGCTGCATCATGGGATGAAAATTAATCAATATACAATTAATTGCTGAATAAAGATTTATTAGATGAAAATCTGCTCCATTTGATTAAATGATGGCGTCTGCTTAGACCAGGGGTCTGCAACCTTTACAGTCAAAAGAGCCATTTCTGCTACTACTGACGCAGTAATAAAACGTGTCCAGAGCCACAAAATAAGCTACAACTGTGATTATCAACTGGTGGTCTGTAGGCCTTTTCAAGGCCTTTTCGGGAACTTTTACGGCCAGTGGAGGTGACATTATAAAACTAAAAAATATATTGCAAATTTTATTTTTTATTATTATTTTTACCCATCAGGACAAATAAAAAGACAATATTCATTTAAACAAGAAAARTACTTTATAYMYAATTTCATAAAATATAGTACAACTGAATTATTCAGGCTTATTTTTTATTCTTATTATGTAGTTTTTAATATTCTTTAAAGGTAATTCTGATGGATTTGAGAGAAAGACRAAAGTTGGATTATTTAAGTAAACAACAGGCTAGCATAAGCTAACATGTTTTACTTTTTGTATTAGTAGTATTGATCACGTATTTGCTTACAAATTGATTTCTGTTGTGGGTAAAAAAACAAAACAAATATTCTGTTATGTTTGGTCACATTTTCAAAGAGCCACTGTAGAGGGACCAAAGAGCCACAGGTTGCAGACCTCTGGCTTAAACGGATTAGAAAGATATGCCGCCTCTGTGACTTTGTTTCAAAYTGAGTCCAAAGTAGAGACTTCAAACTTTAAACCAGTTTTTGAATTGTGTTAATAGACCAAGTAAAACCAGAGTTATGATAACTAATTTACACAACTTTTACTTATTTTTAAATGACTGATCAACTTGATGTGTGTTGTATTGCAAGCAGGAAACACAGCAGATAATCTCGTAGCAAAAAAAAATTAAAAAAAACACTGCAATCTGCCCTCAGTTTCCTCCTTCTCTTGAACCAAAACAAACTTAAAACTTCTTAAATACTTAAGAGTTCAAAAAATACTTTTATTGCTTTAGTCACAGACAGCCATCTGCAGCAACAAGAAGGCAGCAAAGAATAATAAAATTTAAATATAAATAAACATTAGCATTACAGTATGGGTCCAAAAAGAGGTTTGAAATTCCATCTTCAGCCTAGAGATCTGTAGTGTTGGACAAACTTGTCACAAGTTCGAATAAGTTATCTAAAATGTTACAGTGTGACAGGGCCTTAAGAGACACATCGTCATACAATGACTGCCTCTGTATAGAAGCCTCATCAGTCATCAGGGATMACATGTAGATGAGCCCATTCAGCACAAAATCGAGGAGTGGGAGGGGGACTATTGACCATTACTTTCATGAAAACTAACCCCACTCTTCAGCTCACCGTGGTTTCCTTGATTGTGGTGCGAATCCCCGACAGACATGTAAACCATCTTCTCTCTGAGCGTTTGACCTGTAGACTCTGTTAGGGCGACGCTCTCTGCGTCTCCGTCACTGATGTCAACCGATTCTCCTGCAGCGGAAAGCAATCTTTAAATCTCTGCAACAAGCTGCCACACACTTTGACTTTTACACTTTAATGCAATTTATTATGTTGGTTATGTAAATCATGCAAGTCGACATCAATGTTAGATGTGTTTTCATCAGTTTTGYGCTCTCTCACCCATGTCATCCTCTCCAGAGTCAGCCTTGAAGATGTAGACCTTTATCACCTCTTGTCCATCTTCATCCTTCTCCACCTCCTGGTCCTCCACAGCTCCTTCCACTGTTACCTCTGTTCCATCCTCAGACACCATTTTACCAGCTTCATCCACTAGTGAGAAAAACATACCGCATTGAGATGATGGACATGTGCAATAATACGTTTTGCATTTATCTTCCTTATCTAGGGGTCACCACTGTCAAATAACAATTGATTAAAACAAATAAAGAAACACTGGAACAATATGTCATTCATTTCATTATGGAACTATGATTTATAAAATGATAATAAATTTTAGTTAAAAGAAAATATAAATAAAAAAATGTAAAGAACATTATTATTTTGTTTATTATCTTGATTAAAGAAAATAAAATGTCTTTTTTGAGGGAGGTCTTCTGAGACCAGGTTCAAAGACAAGTGGAAATGTTTATTCCCCCTCGGAGTGACCCCTACATTTACAAGTTTAAAAAATGAAATACTTTCTTTATTATAAAACCTTATTCTGACAGTTTTTATCCCAATAAAAAGGTTTAAATACTTCTTAAATATAAAGTATTTCTTGATTATGTAATTGTCTGCGTTCAGAGTAAAAGATGAAGAACTTTTAGATGAAACAGGTGAGGCTAAATAACAACTGATCAGTAACGTAACGTTTAAAATATATATATATATATATATATAGCTTAAAAAAACATTCAATATATGCAACATATAGGAAATGTTCTGACCTCAAGCGCATTTTTGAGGTTGGTATTTGAGGAAAAACAGCTCGAGCTCATTATTTTTAAAGTTTTGATTATATTTTTTAGCTGTAATGATCTGATTCGCTCAGGATAACAGCACTAGGTTCAAACACCTTGCAGAGTGGTGAACTTACAGGATATCATCAGATAATCTCCACAGCCATCTTGGTCATCATCCTGCTGCTCTGGATCCAATCCATCRTCCGGGATGTCTCCCATGGCAACCCCTTCCTCCTCACCGTCCAGAGCCATCACGCAGGTTTCTACAGCAACATCTTCATCGTCATCGCCATGCACATATTCAGAAACCACATCCTCAACAGCATCCTGGATGACCAGCTCATCTGGGGCAAACCTGTGCACTGCCATGCCTTCGCCCTCTCCTTCTGAAACTAACACAGTTTCTTGAAGCTCGACAACAAACTCCTGCCCGCCGGCACCACCGTCATCTGCAAAAAGCAGATTGAGGGTCAATTAGGTAACAACTGTCAGCTTATTTTAAGCAACAGTTATTAAAAAAAACAACTCTTTGACAACAAATAAAAAAATAAGCACACAAATGTTAACACCTGGAACAATCAAACACAATTAACATAAAAATGGCTAATTACCAGACCCGTGTATGATTATTTTAGGCTCTCCAGAATGTATTGCAAGCCTGGTGACATCCTCATCCATTGTCCTCGCACTGCATTTGTTACTGGAGAGCTGTAAACAARCAGATAAAAGCCTACATCACTTGTGGCCTGGATTATTACACCCCAAAGTAACCTAAATGTTTTATTAAATTCATGATGTTTATTGTTCAAGGCTGGATCAACTCACATTAGSTCTTCCAAATTAAATTACTCATATACTGTATAATCGCAAATACAGAATTATGACAGGTTTTGTTGCCCGGAGATGTTTAAAGGAATCCATGATTAGTTGTAACATTAGACTTTATTTGATAAACATTTAACTTAACCATAATATAAAGACAGTAAAAATACTGTAGGATGTTCTGTTTTTATTATTTTTAAACTATTTTTTAAATATATTACACGGA